CAGGCATCCCAGGGCAGGAGGGGCAAGACCCCTCTCCCAGGGAAATGCCAAGTTTGGAGCCGATGGCCAGACCTCCCTGGGGAGCCACTCTCCCAGCTGCGCTTGCCTGGGGCGTTTGCCCATGGGGTGCTGGCACGTGCCCATCCCCTCTGGCCATCGGTGGGGCTGTGCCAGCTGCCTGCACAGTGCCAGGGCCAGGGATGGATGGGTGGGCAGGGAGGGGTCAGTCTTTCAGTGCTGGAGCAGAGCTCATCTAAATGGAGGTGGTTTTGAAGCAGCTGGTCTTACGATTTGCTGTGTCACTTAATGGGAATCTTATTTAACCTTCTGACAGAAGCGATGGGTTCACCCGGACCCTGGGGGGTGGTTGAGCAGCTGCAGGGGATGTGGGGCCAGTGGAGCTCAGTTTCTCCTGCAGAAGGTGCCTGGTGGGCATCTCTCCGAGCAGCCCTGCCCGGGGTCCCTGCCTGCAGCCGGAGCGTGGCCGGGCACAGGGCACATCCCACTCCTCCTGGTAACACCAGGCAGGTCAGGGTGGGAAACCCAGAGCTCTGCTGGAGTGAAACCGCTCCTGGAGCACCGCACACAGTCTCTCGACAGGTCCGGCTGCATGGGGTCTTCGTCCAGTTACCGGGTATTTGCTGCTGTTGCGAAGGGGGTTTGTGCGAGAAGGCTGATTCAGATGTTAATTAGGCCTCTTAATTGCCGTAGTTGCTGATTGCATGTGTGAAAAATAGTTGAGGAAGCGCAGCACTCTGATCCGAGGGAAATATTTAAAAACAAAGCAGGGGAAGGCCAGGTGGTGCAGAACACGGACCAAGCTGCGTCTCGACGTCCCTGGCGTGTGGCTGCTGGTCCGGCAGGCGAGACCACGCAAGGACGATGGGTGTGGGGCACAGACCACCTCTCCAGGAAGCCTGTTCTGGGGTCTGCCCACCCTTTGGGTAAAGAAATGCTCCTTCATGTCCAGTCTGCCCCTCCCTGGTGCAGCTTTGATCCATCCCCATGCATCCTGTCCCTGGTCCCAGGGAGAAGAGCTCAGCACCCCCTGTCCTTGTCCCCAACTCAGGACACTGCCAATGGCCCTGGTCCCAGCACCGAGGACACCGAGTGACTGGGAACACGCAGCTGGGGCTGCAACGCTCATCATCAAACTGCTCCACGATGGCACACGGCCGAGCCAGGCAGAGCCTCAAACACCAGCTTGGGG